GTCGAACTGGTCGCGGCGGCGGTTGTGCGGCCCGTTGAACACGAGCTGGATCGCGCAGTCCTCGCCGTAGTCGAGGTCGGGAAGCAGCCTGCAGGAGCGAGGTGGGGGTGAGGCGGGCGAGGTGAGGCGGGGCAGGGAGGCAGGGGAGGCAGGGAGGGAGGGAGGGAGGGAGGGAGGGAGGGAGGGGAGGCAGGGGAGCAGAGGCAGGGGTGGGGAGGGGGGAGGGGCAGGCTGGGGAGGCGGGAACTTTGGCGTGAGGAGGAAGTACTGCTTGCCGCCGTCCTTGCACGCCTCCGTGACGCACTTGAAGATGATTCGCTCGTTGGTCGAGTCCATCGCCTGGTTGATCTCGTCGACGACCCGGAACGGCGCCGGGTTGATCTCCTGCAGCGAGATGAGGTAGACCATCGTCGCCACCGACCGCTCGCCGCCAGAGTCGCGCCCCGCCTCGCCCAGCACGTGCAGCTGCTCGCCGTCGCGCCACTTGACCTTGATGTGGATCTTGTACTTTTCAAAGTCGTCGTCGCCCGCCGGCTCGCCGTGCTCGTCGAGCGAGCGGCCGTCCGAGAGCGACACCTCGCCAGCGCACCGGAACGCGGCCATGCACGAGCCAAACTTTTGGTTCACGCGGTCGACCATCTCCTCGAGCGCAGGCCGCCACGCCTGCCCGAAAGTTCCTAGGATATTCCTAGACACTTCCTAGAAGGTTCCTAGAAGGTTCCCCGCCACGCCTGCTCGAGCCCCGCGACCTTGCCGCCCTGCGCCGCGATGGCCTGCTGCGCCGCGTCGACGCGCGTCTTGAGCTGCTCGATCTCCTTCCGCCGCCGCTCGTACTCCTTGATCGAGTTGCCGTCGGCCGACGTCGACGATGTCTCCGCCTCGAGCTCCGCGATCCTGTCCTCGAGCTCGTCCGCCCCCGCGGGGAGCGCGTCCCACACCCCCTGCGCCTCCTCCGACAGCGGCGCCTCCTTCCTGCCTGCGAACTCCGCCGCCTTGCCCTTGGCCTCCCGCACGAGCGCGACAACCTTGTCGGCCGCCTTCTTAGCCTCGGCCTTGGCCGCCTCCGCCTCCCGCCGCAGCCGCGCGATGCGCTCGTCGAGCTCGTCCGTGTTGCCCTCCGCCTCCGCCAGCTGCGCCTCCGCCGCCGCCAGCCCCACCCGCACCAGCGCAAGCTTGGTCAGCGCCGCCTCGTGCCGCTTCACCGCCGCCGCCGCCTTCTGCAGGCTGTCGAGCGAGCGCTGGTGCGCGTCGCACAGCCGCCTCCGGTACCCCTCCTTTTGAGCGTCCGCGTTGAAGCCGGCGACGCTTTCGCGCGCCGGGTCGAGCCGCTTCTTCGCCTGGTCGATCCTCGCCGCAAGACGGTTGAGCCGCACCGTGTTGTTGTTGAGCTCGACCTGCCGCCCCTTGGCCGCGTCGAGCTTCTGCTGCAGCTGGCCCACGTCGCGCTCCACCGCCTGCCGCTCCTTGCGCTTGAGCTCGAGCCCCTTCTTGGCCTCCTTCAGCTGCCCCTCGAGCTCCTTCTTCCTCGACGTGTCGACCACCACCGAGAAGCAAGCGGCGTGCCGGTGCCGCTGCGGCAGGCTCGACGACGACGTGGCCGCCCTCGCGCCGTACTTTGAGCGCCCGAAGCGGTAGACGCGCTCGGGCGTCAGGACGGTGACGCCCGTCATCCCGCTCTGCTGCAGAAACTGCTGCAGCGCGTCGATCTTGCCGACCGCCGCGGGCGTCGCGAGCAGGTACGTGTCCACCCCCATCTGCTGCTTGAGGAAGGCGAGCACCTCGCCGCGCAAGTCGTCGCGGATCCGGAGCGCCTCGTCGAGCCACGCGGTCACGCCGAAGCGCTTCATGTCGGCGGAGGAGGGGCGGTTGGGCGCCGGCGAGAAGGTCTTGGCGCGGTTGCGGAAGACGGTGATCCGCGTCTGAGGGCCGCGCCGCTTGAGCTCGTCCTGCAGCTGGTCGCGCGTGCCCTCGTCGCGCGCGAGGAAAGAGGTGAGGGTGCGCGCAGGGAAGGCCTGCACCGCCAGCTTCTGGTGCCCCTTGTCGGGCAGGTCGAGGTAGAGCAGCATCGGCCCGAGCACCTTGGCCTCGGCCGCCTCTTTCGAGCCGCCGCCCACCTGCTCGTAGACCCACTTGCCGACGTGCGGCACCGCGCTGTTCATCTTTGCGGCCTCGATCTGCTTCAGCCGCATCGGGTCGCCGAGGCCGGCGATCTGGTCCTCGATGGAGCGCACGCGCCCCTCGTGCTCGCCCAACTCGTAGTTGGCCAGGTCGTCCTCACGCGCCTCGAGCTCTTGGCGCGCCGACCGCACCTCGTCGGCCGCCGCCTTCTTCGCCGCCGCCACGTCGCCGCCGTACGCGACGCTGACCTTCTGCTCCTCGACGCGCAGCTCCTCTTCGTCGCCTTCGATGCGCCGCTCCAGCTCGCCGACCGTGTCGGTCAGCTTCTTGAGCGCCTTGTCCACCTTGTGCAGCCCGGCCTAGTCCCATACCTCCGCCGTGCCGAACCCAGCGTGGGTTCAGTCCCGTGGGTGGTGCGGCACAGCCGCGCCTTGGCCTCTTCGGCGGCGTCGTCCTCCTTCTCGCTCCTTTCCACCGCTGCCTTCATCTCCTCCCCTTCCTTCTTGACTGACTCGGTGCTGCTGGCCAGGCTCCGCTTTGCAGACGCCACGCGCTCCTTGAGCGGCAGCACCTTGTCGGTCAGCGCCTTCTTCTCCGCCTCGGCCTCCTTCATGTCGGCCTTCTTGCTCTTCCACTCGTCGTTGAGCCGGTCGTACTCGCCCCGCTCCGCGTCGTACGCGAGCCACAGCTTCTTGCCCTCGCAGCGCTCCAGCTCCTTGAGGTTGGCCTGGTACTTGTTCCACCGCTCGACGTCCGCGTACAGCACCTGAAGAGCCATCCAGCCGCCCCCTCGCTAGCGGAGCTATGCCCCTCCTTCTCAAGCACAGCGCCGCTACTACTCGGCGAAGGCTGCACGGCTGGGTCTCTCTCCCCCCCCCCCCCCCTCTCTCTCGGTGCCTCGTTCTGCTTCTCCATCTCTCCCCATCTCTCCCCATCTCTCCCCATCTCTCTCGGCGCCTCGTTCTGCTTCTCCAGCTCGACCAGGCTCTTCTCCTCTCCGGCGGCGGACTGCTTCATGCTCTTGAGCTCCTACCAGGAAGTGTCTGGGAAGTGTCTAGGAAGTGTCTAGGAAGTGTCTAGGACTGCTCCATGCTCTTGAGCTCCTTGTCCGCCACGACGAGCTCCTCGTGCTGCGCGCACACGTCGGGGCCGATGGCGCGCTCCTAGCTCCAGCCGTGGCTCAAGGTCAGCGAGTCAACCGCTGCGGGCACACGACGGCGGCGCTCCCACTCCAGTTGCGAGACTGGTTCGGTGGCTGACGAGCGAGTGGAGCACACTTCGGGGACTGGGCGCGCGCCGTCTCTTTGAGCAGCGCGACCGGCGACATGTTGGAGAAGGCGCCCACCTTGTCCTGCGGCAGGAACTGCAGCGGGTTGTCGACCTGGATGTTCATCGACGCCATCTTCTCCTTGACCTTCTTCTTGCTGGAGGGCTCGCCGTCCATGAACCACTTCTCCTTGTTGTCGGTGTTGAAGTCGAGGCGCACCACCAGGTTCCTACGGCGCGAGTACGGGGAGATACGGGGGGAGATATGGGGAGATATTCCGCGTCTAAGACCAGGTTCCTACGGCGCGAGTACGCCCGACAGACAGAGCCGTGACGGCGGAGAGGAGGGCAGTGAGTACAGCGGACTGCAGGGGAATGCGGCGGAGTACGGGGCCCTCTCGCGCGCTGGTTGGGAGACAGGAACACGGCTTCCGCTTCTAGGACCAGGAAAGTCGCCTAGGCGGCTCCGGTGGTGTGCCGGTGTGTGTGCACCCCTCCGATGCCCTGCATCCCTCCTCTCTCAACACCACCGGAGCCTAGTCTGCGCCAGTCCGCGCCCTTGTCGTGCCCCAGTGTGCCAGTGCGAGAGGCGTGTGTTTGAAAGAATTCGGGCCAGGCTCCTCCCCGCGCCGGAGATATGGGGAGAGATGGGGGGAGATATGGGGAGATATTCCGCGTCTAGGGCCAGGCTCCTCCCCGCGCCGGAGCCTTCGAACAGCTCCGTCTCGACGGAGCCTTCGGTCGGCTTGACGCCTGCGCCGCAGACAGCAGCGGGCGGGCGGCGTGGGTGGGTGGGTGGCTGCCTGGAGCTGCCTGGCGGGACTGCCCTCTCCGAACCGCGCATTGTTGGACCGGCCGAACTAGAGGGCGCCCCTCCTGGGGCAGGGCCCAGATTAAAGGACTCCCCCCTGCCGAGTTATGTTTCCCCCCTTCCC